CCCCAAAACCCCAAAACCCCAAAACCCCAAAACCCCAAAACCCCTGCAAACAGTATAAATAAGAACAGCTATTATTCAATTTATCTAAAAATAAGATATGAGTGACTTTACAGAGACAGTAAAGAAAGCATACGAGCTGTACTTGCTCGGCCAGGAGAAAGAAGCATTTTCATTGCTGATTAAGGGAACAAAACACCATTATTACCTCTCGATTGTCGATGATCTAAAGAAACAAAAGCATACACTTTCTGAAGAGACTAAGAAGAAGATAGAGAATTTCAGAAACAACTTCCATGACCAAGATGTTGATAGGTTATGGATGCAGAAACTGTTCTTGGAGTATGACGGTGCTAAAGACGAGAAGGAAAGACAAGCCCTCATTGAGAGAATCGATAGAGACTACTTATACTCGAATTTCCACCATAGTAAGCCTGCTGACGTTATCAGAAAGAAGGCTGATGAGCATGAAGAATCTAAGCTTGAGACTAAAGAATTTGACCAATCCGCCCATTTCAATGAAGATGTCTATCTTGACGGTGTTCACAATGTTCCAGGGCAATTGTATAGCCTCCATCCCGTGTTCTTCAACAAGGTTGACTTTAGGAAGATCCCTCAAGAAGACTTCTGGGGATTCTTGTCTACACCAACCACTTTTGCACCAATTAACAACGAATCTTTTTGGAATAAGCTGATAGAGACAATCAACCAAAAATACAAGACCAATATCCATTTTAGGGTCGACCAATATCTTTTCGATAAGTTCACTTTGGATCAACTTGAGATCCTGGGAGAGTCAGTTCCTCAATTGAAGGACGATCCTCACTATATTGGAAAGATATTTGAGAAAAAGTTTCACTTTGAGCTTGATAGCGAAAACAAAGATACGTTCACCTATGAGGAGAGAAGAGAACAGCTAATTATGATGTACAAGGCTAGTGAGAATAGGCCTCAGAGTTTCAAGTCAGCCCTCCTTCTTGAAATCCTTGAGAATGGAATCAAACTTAATACATTTGACAAAGGATTTTTCATCGAGTATCTCAAGAATCCACTTAAAAATTGGCATATCAGCAAGAAGAATCAAAGAAGACAGGAACTGCATGATCATGTCTGGTCTCAATACATGAGCAACCTTAAAAACAGGGCTGCAGGAGCCATGGATTATGAATCTGACAGAAAACTATACAAGAAATATCTGGAGCACTTCTTTACAGAAGAATCAAATCTGGACGAGTTCAAAGAATTCTTTGATAAAGATTTCTTAGTCGACCTCCTTGAAGAATTCTTGTACCTATCTGGCAAAGAGTTGGAAAAAGAAAAGACTGACTTGAAGAAATTTGAGAATCTGTCTAACCAGGTACTGATAGACCTTCTCGAATGTAACAAGGACGTCTTTAAGAAGGAAGAAAGAGTCAAGATAATTGCTGATATTAAGAACGTCCAGACACTCCATGTTAAGATCTTTGAGTTCAACAGCGAAAATTACTACAGGAAAAATCTGGCTCCTTTCAGAACTGATGTAGATCTTGATGGATTAGTAACTGCTCATGAGGATAAGTATGACTTTGATGAGCCTCCTCAGAAGAAGTTCAGAAAAGTCTTTGAGTTCAACCAGCTTGATGATAGAGTCGGCCTCTTTGTTATTGAGTTCATTTCAAATGGATACAGCTCAAGAGCTGTCATCAAGAAAGGTACTCTATCTCTGATTTTCAAATCTACTGCTGTCGGTCAAGTTGGATATATTTTGGACGAAAACCAAGAGATCTGCAAGGGAGAAAGAACTGGACTTTGGTTCCAAAACCAATACTTTAAGACTGACTGCGAAAATGGTAGAGTCATCATCCCTTATGCTAAGCAAGAGGTATCTGACAAAGTTATCTTGATCCACGAAGAATTCGCCCAACTTACAGAATTTAGGAGAAGATGAGAGTCATACTCCTTCAATGTATCCTACATTGTTAACCATGAGAGTTTGCTAATGGGAAAGGAAGCTAAGATCTTGATGAAGCCTATCCTCAAAGTAAACGATAGGAAATGCAACTTGAGTATTTTGAAGAACACTAAAATAACTCTTGCAACTACGTCATTCATAGATTCTTTGGTTTCAACAAAGACTTTTGATAATATCCAACCAAACGCTCAGGAGGAGCTGATGATCAATTTCCAAGTCCCCCCAAATCTTCAGAGCATTGATATCTCCATAGAGACAGAGGCTAAGAATATCTCAAAGGGAACTACAGAGAAGCTAACTAGTAGTCACTCCGTGACTTTAGATACAAAGGGTGGTAGTAATACCTTCTATGATGCGTATCTAAGAAAATTCAAAGGATCTTATTATTACTATCTCTTAGGCAAGAACGGAGAGCCTTTGGTTGACTCAAGTGTGAATCTTTCTTTCAATCATAACCTTGTCCCTAACTCGACTAGCACTATCCTCAATACAGATAAGGATGGAAAGATCAAACTGGGTCCATTGAAAGATATTACTTATGTATCCACTGACTTCAATGGACCAAATGGATCTTGTTCGAATTCTTTCAACATTCTGAATTACTCTGAGAAGGTGGTACTACCAAGAACTCGAAATATATTGGTCGATGAGAGGATCGACTTCCCATTCATCTGTAGCAGAGACTTCTCTGAAGATACAGTGACCTTAGTCAGGAAAAGTAGAGAAGGAAGAACTATTGAAAATTGCTTTAACAAGATCTCTTATAGTAAGAAGGATGGGTACCAATATGGAGAGATCTCCATCTCTGGTCTTGAACGAGGACACTATGAGTTAGCCTTCACTGCCACAGGAGACTTCATAGAGATTACTGTACATAAAGGAGTTTATTGGGAGAACGATTCTTTCATTCTGAAGGATCATAGTCTTGTTGAAAGAAGAGAAACTGAGAATATTATCCGTATCTCTGACATCGGTATTGAAGAACAAAAAGAAAACGGACACAAGTTCTCATTCAAATTAAATGATTTCAAGGAGAATACCAGAGCTCATGTCTTTGGATTTACCTTTATGCCACAAGACTTACTGAGTGACTTCTATAGCATTTCTGATATTGAGAGAGACTATAGTATTTGCGACATCTTCCCATTCGCTAAGTGGAAAAATATCTTCTTGTCCAATAGAAAATTGGGTGACGAATTCAGATATGTGTTTGACAGAAAATTCCTGAAAAGATTTATGGGAAACACTCTTGATAGACCCCAACTCTTGTTGAACAGACATAGACTTAGAGAGACTAGGTTTGACGAAGAGGTAGTATATAAAAGCAGAGAGAACGTAGGAGGGTATGAAATTCAACAACAGCGACTTGCGGCTCCAGCATCAAGTGGCTACGCAAGAAATGCTGCTCCACAAATGCAACAAATGATTGGCAGAGGAGGTGGCTATGGTGCAAACGCATTCTGTAACATAGCTCCAGATATGATGACTCAGAACTGTGCTCCAATGGCTGAAAGTATGAACTTCAATCAAATGAATTATGATAGTTACTGTCCTCCTGGAAATCAGTCCTATAAATCATTTTTGAACTTCTTGAATACTTCTCCTACTCTGATTGAAAATTTGAGACCAAACGAAGATGGAGTAGTAGAATGCTCAATTGATGTTGAGAAGTACTCCTCAATTCTGGTCTTTGCTTTCGATGAGAACACCATTGCTCAATCCATAGTAGATGTGCAAGAATCCTTGGAGAATGTCAATAAGAGAGATCTTTCTCTGTCAGCTCCTCTAGATCCAGAGAAAGCATATAATGAAATGAGAAACTCAAATCTTTTGAAGAAGGGTGAAAGCGACATTATTGAAGATATCACAAGTACTGAGTACCTCCTGGTAGATTCCCTTGGGAAGATCATGCAAGTTCAGGATGAGATTGTAAAGATGAACGGAAGGAGGACTGCAACTGGTGATTTTGCATTCATTAAGACCTGGAACACTTTGAGCGGAGAAGACAAGAACAAGAAGTATAGCAGATATATGAGTAACGAGCTGAATTTCTTCCTCTACTTTAAAGATAGAGAGTACTTTAACAAAGTTGTAGCTCCATTTATTGACAATAAGCTTGAAAAGGGATTTGTTGACTATTGGCTGCTGGGAGACCATCAGAAAGTCATCAGTTACAAAGATTGAGACTCTTTCTATAAGCTCAACGCTTTTGAGAAGTGCCTATTGATCTCTGAGGTTGTCAAGGAGGATAACGAAGAGGCTCAAGCTCTGGCAGACTATATTAAGCTTATTGCCGAGAGAGATGAACCTGATGCTGAGCACTTAAATAGACTTTTTGATTCTGTCATCAATCTGAACAATAATCTCGATATTTCTGAAGTCCCAATACCTGGATCTGGATTTGATTTTGGTGGAGGAGCATCATCAGCAATTCATGCACCACCAGCACCACCAGCACCACCTTCAAATGCATTGTTTGGAAGACAGGAGATGATGAGAAGTCAAGATTTAGCATTTTCAAACGATGAATCTAATTCTGGAGGAATTATGAAATCAATCCAGAGTGCTTTTGGAGGAATCCAGAAAATGGCTAGAAATTCAAGAGCAGCTCCTATGAAAAAGAAAATGAAAGCTGCAAGTTATGATGATTATAAGAGTGATGAAGAAGAAATGATAAGAAGAAGGGCCAAGATGCAATTCCAAGAAGCTGAAGCTGCAGTAGAGTATTGTGAGACTCATTACTATCAGAGCCCTGAGATTCATTACAACATAATCAATGAAAACTTGTTCTGGAGAGACTTCTCTCAGCACATTGTGAAGGAAGGCTCTGTTGAAAACTTCCTTTCCTCTAACTTCATTCTTGCCGTCGGAAATAATACTGAAAATATTGCTGCTTTATCAGTATTGGCACTTCCATTCCAATCTCCAGCTGATGGAACTAAAGAACATGGAGGTAAAGGTGTTGAAATCAATGCTGTTGAGAATCTGATCTTACTCAAGAAAGAAATTAAAGAAGCTGAAACTGATCTCAGCAATGATTTGCTAGTAATTCACAGGTTCTTTGATCCTAACAACAGAAATTCTGGAAAGATCACTGAGTTCTTAGTGAACAAGGTTTACCAAATAGAGACCATCATCACAAACGTTTCAAGCGAAATCAAGGAATTCCAAATTTTATGGCAGATTCCTGAAGGATCATTGCCATTAGGAAGGACTAATTACCAGAAGTCTGAGAATAAATCGTTGAATTCGTACTCTACAACTACGTTCTCGTACTATTTCTACTTCCCAAGTTCAGGGAAATTCTCTCAATTCCCTGCTAACATCACCATTGACAACAAGGTGGTTGCAAGAGCCAATAAGTGAGAATTTGATGTTGTTGAAGAGAGAACAGAGGTCTCTAATGAAACCTTCAGAGATATTCTTCACGGTGGCAACGACGAAGAAATTCTCGAATTCCTGAAGACTGCTAATCTCTACAAAGGCGAGAAAGGATTCAGTTTCTATGACATCCTTTGGAAAATGAAGGATAAAGATTTCTTCATTAAGACAACTGATATCCTGAGAGAAAGAAAGATCTATGAGAGAGAAATCTGGGGATACTCTGCTTATCATAAAGACCACAAGACGTTCTCAGAATTGGTGAGCAATAGTGACCTTCCTTACAGAGTTGGAACATTCTTTGAGAGTGGATTGATCAAGTGTAGCCCTGAACTAAGCGGGTTCAAGCATCTAGACTACTTCCCAATGATCAACTCTAGAGCTCATAAGTTAGGTGATTTAACTAACTCTGCTATTCTGAATGTTGAATTGAGGAATACTTACAACAGATTACTATTCACACTAGCTGAGAAAGAGAGACTTGACAATAATGATTATCTGAACTTGACTTACTACTACCTTCTTCAGGATAGAATCAATGAGGCAATTTCCATCTTTGAGAAGGTAAATCCTGATGACTTCGATACCCCTGGAACCCTTAAGATGCAGTATGATTACATGAGAGCTTACCTTGACTTCTTTACTGGAGAAGAGACAGGATTTAAGGTTGCTAAAATGATCTCAAAGAAGTATGCTGACTATCCAATTCTGTCTTGGAAGGTCCTCTTCACTGAAATCCTCGATCAGCTTGAAGAATTTGAAGAAGGTGTTGACTACGATCAAGAAATTGATAATACTGATGAGACTAAGAAGAAGGCCAACCTGAAGAAGAGCATCAATCTCGAACCTACTTTACATTGCGAGTTAGAGGGAAAGACTGTTAAGGTTGAGTATAACAATATTCCAAAAATTTTAGTCAAATACTATGTGATCGACCCAGAAGTTATGTTCTCAAGAACACCATTCTTGAACCAGAGCACTGAAGACTTTGCTTATGTCAAGCCTATGGATACTCAAGAAGTAGTTTTAGATAAAAAGCTGAAGACACAGACATTTGAGATCATTGAGAAATTGCAGAACCAAAACCTTGTGATCGAAATTTCAGGAGAGGCCAAACAAGCCTTCTTGACTTACTTCTCTACATCATTGAAAATCTCTATTAATGAGAACTTTGGTGAGCTCAAGGTATCTGATGAAGATAATAAGCCGCTCTCACAGGTTTATGTTAAAGCTTTCTCTAAGCAGAACAACGGAGAAGTCAAATTCTTTAAGGATGGATACACTGATATCAGAGGAAAATTCGAATATGCTCAAATCAATTCAAAGAAGCTCGGCTCAGTTACCAAGTTTGCTATCTTGGCGATGAGTGATAATCATGGATCTACTACAAGAGAAGCTAAGGTTCCTCCAAATGTGGCTACAACTGATGCTAGTGATGTTAAGTTCCTGCCAGCAAGCCAGATGAACAAGTGGAAGCAACAGAAGAACAGAGCTGCCAATAGAAAGACAAGAAAGGGTTAATTCTGCTCTAATTCTGAGTAATGAATATTTAGTATAAATGTTCAAGTCAATATTTCTATATTGGGGTTTTGGGGTTTTGGGGTTTTGGGGTTTTGGGGTTTTGGGGTTTTGGGG